CTAGTTGGAAGCCACCAACCCCCATGACTCTTGCATTCTAGGTGCCTGCAGACTTAACGCCACATGGAAGCCTCCAAGGCTTACTGCCAGCACCTTCCAGAGCAGTGGCCTGAGCTGTACCTGGGACCATCTGAGCCACGACTTGCCTGGCCCAAAGGGCTGGGATGTGGGGAGCAGTGTACCCAGGTGGAGCAAGGCAATGGCACCTGAGGCTGTCTCTGTCCTAGGCCTCCAGGCCTGTGACAGAGGGGTGCCATGCACATTTCTGGAATGCCCTCAGGGCCTTTTCCCAGCCCTTCAGTAAGGCCAGTCTTCTTAGCAAGGGCTCTTCTGCAGCAGCCTTGAATTTCCTCTCCTGAAAACATTCTTTGCTCCTCTACCACATGGCCAGATTGCAAATTTTCCAAATATTTACACTCTGTTTTCCCCCCTCTTTTCTTCTTCTTCTTCTTCTTCTTTTTTTTTTTTTTTACAGATTTAGGGAGTGCAAGTGCTGTTCTGTTCCATGGATATATTGCAGAGTGGTGAAGTCTGGGGTTTTCATGTACCCATCACCCCATGGTGTACATTATGCCCAATAGGTAATTTTCCACCCCTCCCACCACCCCGCCTTCCGGAGTCTATGATGACTATTATTCCACTCTGTGTGTCCATGCACACCCAATATTTTACCTCCCACTTCTAAGTGAGAACATGTGGTGTTTGATTTTCTGTTTCTGACTTATTTCACTTAGGATAATGGCCTCTAGTTCATCCATATTGCTGCAAAAGACATGATTTCATTCTTTTTTATGGCTGAGTAGTATTCCAAAGTGTGTGTGTGTGTGTGACATTTTCTTTATCTAATCATTTATTGATGGACACTTAGGTTGATTCCATGATTTAGCTATTGTGAATAGTGCTGTAATAAACATACAAGTGCACCGTCTAATGGGAGGTGTCTGGGTCATGGGGTTGGATCCTACATTAATAGATTAAGCCCTGGGTGAGAGTGAGTTCTCACTCTATTTTTCCCATAAGAGCTGGTTGTGAAAAAGATTCTTCTGGCTAGGACTTCCAGTACTATGTTGAATAGTAGTAAAAAAAATAGATTTTTTTTATTATTCATGCAATTTTACTACTCATTATTAGTCTGTTCAGGGTTTATTTTTCTTCCTGGTCTTGATTTCTTCCAATCTTGAGAGGTGTGTGTTTCCAGTTAAAATGCTTTAACTTCCACTGCTATCCCAATTAATATCCCAGCAATCAGATATTGATCAAGTAATTCTAAAATTTATGTGGAAAGGCATAGGGCCTGGAATCATATCCAAAGGAATGAAAGACATTCTATAAAAAAGACATCTGTACTAAAATGTTTATAGCAGCATAATTCACAATTGCAAAGAAGTACAAACAACCCAAGCGCCAGTCAATACATGAGTGGATTAGTAAAATGTGGTGTATGTATACCATGGAGTTCTACTCAGCCACAAAAAGCAGTGGTGATCTAGCACCTCTTGTATTATCCTGGATGGAGCTGGAGCCCATTCTACTAAGTGAAGTATCACAAGAATGGAAAAACAAGCACCACATGGACTTACCATCAAATTGGTACTAACTGATCAACACTTACATGCACATGCAGTAGTAACATTCGTCAGGTGTTGGGCAGGTGGATGGCTATATTCACACCTTAGAAGTGCGATGTGCACTGTCTGGGGGATGGACACTCTTGAAGCTCTGACTAGGCAGAGCAAAGGCAATGTATATAAGCTAAACATTTGTACCCCCATTATATTCTGAAATAAATAAATATATATGTATACATAAAAACAATTCTGGAAAAGAACTACCCAATTTAAGGATATAGTTAAAAGTATAATAAAAAAAGACAGTGTGGTTTTGGTGAAAGGATAGACACATAGATTAATAGATCAGGAGAGAGAAATTCACCTGCATGAATATACTTAATTGATTTTTTACGCAGGTATAGTAGCAATTTGGTGGAGTATGGTTAGAAATTTTGAAACTACTTTACATGTATACTAGGGTTGGACAAACAAGTAAATGTAGGGGATATAAAGTAGCCTGGTTTCTCACTGTTTGAGAAAGAAGCTACACATAAGCAAGACAGGAAGGCTGGAATGAACTTGTGTTCCTGGACTGTAGTAGAAGACATCAGCATGCACTTATGTTTATGTTAATATATGTAGAGTGATAAATGCAGAAGTAAATTGATATTATTTACATGGGTCGATATATGTGTATGTATTTCCTAGCTCTGGCTGCTGAGAGGGTCGAAAAGCAGTGATATCCCAGCAGCAAGGGACACTTGGTGCCCAGATCTTGGCTTTTAAATACTGTTCTTCAATGAAAAGAACCAAACCCTTGGGATAAATGACTATCCAGGGCTAGGGCAGGGCAAACATAAGATGACCCGAAAGCATCAAAGCACCAAAAAGAAAGGAAGTGCTCAAAGGAAATAAAGGAATAAGGGCTTGTCAAAAGGACACAGGACCCAACCTGAAGGAGCTTCGAAAGGCAAAGCTGAAATTGTTGGTGCAGCAGAATAAATTATAATCTGATTGGGTTGTAACCCAGAGACTAAAATAAACCCATGAATCTATACTGACATATATAAATGAGTGAATAAGTACATAAATGGAAGAAAAGGGGGAAAACTTCCTTACAAAAGAGATCCGAATAGTAGATGTTGATACTACCACCCTCTAGGAGGTGGATCCTAATTTCTTTCCCACTGTTGCGAACTGGACTTAGAGCTCACTTCCAGAGTAGGGCACGGAAAGGGAAACATGGTAGTTTCTCAGTGGAGAAACCTGGCAGACACCAGCTTAACCAAATGGCAGAGGTTACCTTCACCAGTGGTAACGCAAGTTGATGCTGTGTACTCTCAGTCTAATCATGAGAAAATATCAGGGAAGTTCTACAAAACAAATGGCCACTACCCTTCAAAAGTGTCGAGGCCGTGAAAAACGAAGACAGACTGAGAAATGACAGGCTGAGGCCGTGCAGGACGGAGCTTCACCCACAGCTGCGGCCATCAGTTTACTTAACACATCACCCGAGTCTGGGTGTGTGCCCAGTATTTGTCCACAAGTCAGAGGGGAGCAAAGACCCTAAAGACTAAATGCAGTGCGGCATCCTGCACTGGGTCCTGGAGCAGAAAAAGGGTGTTAGCAAAATAACTGACGAGATCCAAACAGAGTGCGTGGTTTAGTCAATGATGTTTCACTCGTGTTAACTTCTTAGTTTTGGAACATGTCACGATGCTGTGGGATGTGAACCCCTGGGGGAAAGGTACGCAGAGGCTATATTATCTTTGGAACTGTTCTGTAAATATAAAATTGTCCAAAAATAACATTATTTAAAAGTCATTGGTTTGGTAATACATTTGCAATATGTTGGTAAACAAAAGTCAGGTTGAAAAAAGGACATGATGTTCTTGTCAAAAGTAGACAAAGTCCATTTTAAAAAGATTTTAAAGGAAATTGCTAAAATATTAACATTGATTATCTTTTGATGGGTAATTTCAGTGATCTTGCTTCTCTTCTCTGCAGCGTGGTGCCACTGCCCCCTTCTTGTCATCGTGTCCCCGACCCCTGCCCCTCCCCAGAACCTGGGTGTCATTCTTGCGTGGTATCGCCAGCCTGGCTGCTCGTGGCCACCCCACGCTCATGGCCATGCCTCACACACAGAGATCTGCGGTAACTGTGTAGGGGTGGCTGGATGTTGACATCTTTAAAAGGCTCTCTTGGCAATTCCTACTTGCAGCCAGGATCGAAAGCGCTGTATTCAGACGAGTGTAGCTGCAACTGTGTGCAGCTAAGCGCCAGACAACTCTGTTTGCTAAATTAGATGTGAGCTGTAGAGTTGAAATACAGCATGACCATGAAGGGTCACCAACTCCCTGCTCCCAGCAGGGAGCCTGTTGCCACTGAAGTTGTCCTTTCAGGAAACATTTGAAAGTGTGGTGATGGTTACAGAAACTCTGACTATAGTAAAAACAGAACAAAACACAATGGCTTTTGTGCTTTATATAAGTGATTGTGTGAGCTAAAATAAATCTTAAGCCCCCAGGCTGACTGAATGGACCCCCTCGTGGCCAAGGGGACCCAGAAAAGTCCTAAAGCTGAGTTGCTGCCATGAGGGAGGTCCGACAGCCTCGTCATGCCCCTCCCTTCTTGGAGATGTCCTTTGTGACTCAGGACAGGCTGAGGCCGTGCAGGACAGAGCTTAACCCACAGCTGCGGTCATCAGTTTACTTAACATATAACTCGAGTCTGGGTGTGTGTCCAGTACAAGTCCAGTGGCTTGTCTCTGATTAACAGAATTCCTTATCTTAATTTAAAACATTCCAAGCCTTTAGACTAATCTTCATTTCTTTAACCAATCACAAATCAAGGGATCTTTAAACCCACCTATAACCTGCTCTGAGATGTCCTGTCTTTTCGGGTCAAACCAATGTCTTGACTATATCATGTTATTTAACCACTACAATAAAAATATGCCTTCTTTATAATCAGAGATAACTTTCTCAAAATTGTTCAACTCTTTCTTTCCTTTTGTTTTCTTCCACTGAATTTGCCAGTTAATTTGACAAAGTGGAACAGGATTCAGATGTTGAATTTTCCTTCCGGTTCCATTAATTTGGCAGGTGGTGATTCAGGTACTATTGGGGCTGCTCAGACAGACCTCTTCATCAGATGTTAAGAGCTTTTGCACCCCCTTTCTGACCTTTGGGTTGGTGACATGTTCTTGGACATGTTTATCCACCGGTGACTGGTGTCAGCGGCCAGTGTTGACAGTGCCCAGCCCTACCCTCACCAAGGCCACCGGGCGTAACGTCCAGGAGAGACAACAGCTACAGGATCAGACTTTGAAGAGATCGCCAACAGTAGGTAATAATAAACTAATAACTTGGGCCAGGGGAGAAGGAAGGTGGCATTGGTTGTCGGGTCACCCTCCTTCTCAAGGATGTGTTATAAAAGTTCTGCCTTTCCCCAGGATCATACTCTTAAGTCGGCAGTGGGACGCAGAGGCACCATGGCTGTGCTGGGCATCACGGTGGCCCTGCTGTGCTGGCTGGCCATCCTCCTGCTGGTGTCTGTCTGGAAGCAGGTCCACAGCAGCTGGAACCTGCCCCCGGGACCCTTCCCACTGCCCATCGTTGGGAACCTTCTCCAGCTGGAATTGAAGAATATTCCCAAGTCTTTGAACAAGGCAAGAGAAATATTGTTGATTTTAGGGAGAATACTTCAGGAATTAGATCCAATATGTGTGTATTAAACTCACTACAGAAAAAGTGTTACTAATACCAGCTTGCTATGAATTAACAGCAGGATGCAGGAGTGATATTCAAGTGTGCTGCAGGGCACAGCAGGGCATGGGGCCCTCAGAGGGGCGCTGGCCATGGCGGGCTCTGGAGGCCCCTGGCTGTGCCAAGTGGCTGGGCTGGTGAGGGGGAGGCCGGCGTGGTCGGGGGTGGAGATGCGCTGGCCCAGCGCCAGGAGGGCCACGCGGTGGCGTCCAGACGCACAGCGGCCGAGCGCCCACTTGTATGTGCCAAAGCGCAGGCTGGAAAGTGAAGCTCTGGACCAGCCTGCGCGGTGAGCACACCTGCCTCCTGGGCTAACAAATCTAAAGATCAAGTGAGTTGATAAAGAATGCCTCCGACACAGAGCTGGAGCTTGCCGTTTGCACCGGGGTGTGTGGACACGGTGCACAGAGCAAGGTGGGCTGTTGGCCGGCGGGGCGAGGGCTCCGGGTCAGCCTGCAGCCCCTGGGACCAGGACCTTGGCCGGGGAGCGGGACATGGGAGGATGGGCGCGGGCGCTGGCAAAGCGGCGTCAGAGAAGGGGTGGAGAAGCCGGCATCTGCGGAGCTGACGGTGGCCGGGCCAGCGGGGCCTCCAGGCGCCAACGCGTCCACCTGCGCTCCCTGCGGACGCAGCGGCCTTCTACGGGAGGGCCTTCCCGCGTTGGCCGGGCTCGGATGGCCCTTCCCCCAATCCGCCTGGGCTCTCGGGATGAACGGCGACAGCGACAAGTGGCGGAGGCGCAGGCTAAAGCAGGGCCCCCTCGTCCCCGCAGATGGCGGAGCGCTTCGGGCCGGTGTTCACGCTGTACCTGGGCCCGCGGCGCGTGGTCGTGCTGCACGGCTACAAGGCGGTGCGGGAGGCGCTGCTGGACCACAAGAGCGAGCTCTCGGGCAGAGGCTACATCCCCGCGTTCCAGGAGCACCGCAACAAGGGTGAGTCTGTTTCCCAGGCGCGGGGCAACACCGGGCAGTCGTGGGCGCGAGCTGCGCTGGCCCTCGCCAAGAGTCGCACCGAACTGACAGCGATGGTAACAGCGGCTGCAGGAAGAAGGCTGGGGGCGCAGGTCCCCCGACGGTGCGGTGCGGTGGTGGCGCGCATGCGTGGCCTCTCTTGGCGCTCTCACCTGTTTTCCCAGTGCGCATTTCTGAGGTTATGTTGTGTCACAATCAATCAGTGGTGTTCGATTTTCCCTATTCTACATTGTGGGTTTATTTTACATTTTTGGAGTTGCCAAAAGCAAAATCTACCCTCTCTGTCCTTGTCATCAACACAAGAGCTTTGGGGAGGACCCACGAGACCAGGATGCTGTAGTCAAGGAGCTCAGTTCTGGTTTAGGGGAACCCTCATCTGCCACCCTTGGGCCCAAGGACGCATCCTGAAGGCAGCAGATTGGGCTTTGCCGCCTCTGCCTGGGGCTCCAAAGTCTATATGACCCACACGGCCCAGACTGACTCTGAAAATCAGTCCAGCCCTGGACACAGGATGCCTCTCCCCACCCAGGGTGACAGAAATGTCATTATTAGCGTAATAGTCAGCACAGGCTGTGCGATGTGCTAAGGGAGCGGCAGGCACCCTTTCAGAAAATCTTTATAAAGCTGAGAAATCTCAGTCCCTCCGCCTATATTTTAAGCCCTCTAAAGGGATCATCTCGGGGCCACCCTCCCCTCAGCACGACCCCACAGGTGGCCACACTGCCACTTCTGCCCCTCTGCCCTGCCAGCCTCCTTGGGCACCAGTGCTTTCCCAACCTCTCAGGATGAGATTCAAACCCTAGTCCAGCCTGGACCCCCAGCCCCCCCTGCTCTCTCCCTGGCCGGGCTTCTTTGTCGCCGGGGCAGTTTCCTCGTCCTGCAGGGGCTTCCACCGGCGGTGGCACGGTCCATGCGGGAGGCACCGAGCGGCCCCACAGGACACGACTGCTCTGCCTTGTCTGTCACAGAGTGTCTGAAGCGCAGTCGAATGTCTGCCATGCAGGAGGGACTTGGCAACGATGATGGATACGAGGGAGAGGGGAGACGGACGAGGAGGCCCTGAGGTGTAAGGGGGCTTGTAGCTGAGGAAGGGGCAGGGCCAGGAGTGATGGAGAGGGACCAAGGGGCCACAGTCAGGGGTGACTCAGACATTCCTATCTGGGGGAAAGTGAGAAAGGTTTGTAGTTAACTGAGACAGGGGCAGAAATATGTGAACATTTTTAAAGAAAGGAAAGTTTAGTTTTAGATTTGTTGACTTCAAATGTCTCCATGCTCCCAGGAGGACCCGTAGGTGACTCCTGGGGGAAGAGACAAGGCAGAGCGAGGCTTTGACAAGCACATAGAAGGGAAAGGGCTTGGTTCCCCGACTCTGACAGTCTGCGCAGTCAGGGAATCATGTGACCTCTCAGATTTTATTAAAGAAACTGGCTGTGAAGCCAAAAAGCCATAAATTGAGGTGGTTAAGGTATGCAGTTAAAAATTGATGAGAACAGAAAGATTTTTCAAGAATTTTATCAATAGACAAGAAAGAGGTGGGAAGTGTTTCTTGGAGTGGTCACATATGGTTTCATTTAGCTTGGGAAAGACTCGGTGGGAAGTGAAAAGGAAGAAAATAAGTGATGGTGTGAAGAAGAAAGCACCCAGGAAGGTTCAGTGCAATGGAAAAATCACAGTGTAGACCTCGAGGACCCCGGAAAGGGTTCTCCCCAAAACCCAACCGTGGCCAGTGCTGGCAGCTGGCCGCCTCTCTGCACACCTGCAAACCAGCCAGTGCGCGGGGCCCCGACAGCCCACCTCCCACTCCAGTCCTGTTTCTCCAAGAACTGGGCGTTTGGAGTAACGCTCTGCTGTCCTCCTTCCTTAGGCGTCATCTTCAATAACGGGCCCACCTGGAAGGATACCCGGCGGTTCTCCCTGATGGTCCTCCGGGACTATGGGATGGGGAAGCAGGGCAACGAGGAGCGGATCCAGAGGGAGATCCCCTTCCTGCTGGAGGAGCTCAGGAAGACCAAGGGTGCGTACGGCCGCCCGTGGCAGGACCCCGTCCTCACGCAGATGGGAGGGGCGCGGGGGCTGGGACCCCAGATGGCGTGTGAACAACCCGGAAGACTTGGCAGCTACGGGGACCCACAGACAAGGACAGGGTCGTGGCAGTCGCAGACACTGCGTCTCACGGCTCCGGTTTCCAGCTCTGCATTTCAGGGGGAGCAGGTGGCCATTGAGTGTGTGCCTGTTGTATTATAGATAACGTTGAGAAGTAAAGAAAACTCAAATAGGTTCAGACATTCACTACCTTTTGTGAATTACCACAGATTAGGCGTTGGTAAATCTCAGCAGCAGCTCACCTGCGCTGACGCTCACCTGTTTTCTAGGCCAGCCTTTTGACCCCACTTTTGTCATCGGCTGTGCACCCTTCAACGTCATAGCGGACATCCTCTTCTGCAAGCACTTTGACTACAACGACAAGAAGTGTCTGAGGCTGATGAGTTTGTTTAATGAGAACTTCTACCTGCTAAGTACTACCTGGCTCGAGGTGAAGCCATTTCCTTTCATTAATCTTCAATTGTTTAGTTTATATTAGAAGAAGGAGCAGAAGGAAAATTCAGGTTGTATGGGACAGACAGGGCTCAAAAGCCAGAGAACAAGAGCATTTCAGCATGTTCGTCTGGGCAGCCCTAACTGTCCCCCCAGGGATGTCACGGGGGCCCTGCACATTGGGTTTCCTGTTATTGACCTATGGGTGCACATTTTCACCACAGAATGTGCAATGCCCAGGAGAACGGTGGCCAAAGAAGACACCGGTGACCCCAAATGTTTCAAATAGCATGATTATGATAGTCATAGATTCAAGTTTGGAGAGAGCCCAGGACACACAACTATGTAGCATCTAGAAAAAAAATAGTGAAATTTCTCTCTCTCTCTCTAGTTTTACAATAATTTTTCAAGCTATCTACACTACCTGCCTGGAAGCCATAGAAAAGTACTAAAAAATGTGTCTGAAATAAGAGAGTATGTGTCTGCCAGACTGAAGGAGCACCACCAGTCTCTGGACCCCACCTGCCCGCGGGACTTCACCGACTGCCTGCTCGCGGAGATGGAGAAGGTACCGAGACCTCCCTCGTGCGGGGTGGGCTGCCGGTGGGAGCGTGCGCCTCTCCGGTCTGTGCTGGACCCGCGCTTGCCAGCGGGTGACCCATGCTTGTGTGACCCGCTCAGTGTGACCCGGGCTTGTGTGACCCGGACCTGCTCAGTGTGACCTGGGCTTGTGTGACCCGCTCAGTGTGACCCGAGCTTGCCAGCGGGTGACCCGCACTTGTGTGACCTGCTCAGTGTGACCCGTGCTTGTGTGACCCACTCAGTGTGACCCGCGCTTGCCAGCGTGTGACCCGTGCTTGTGTGACCCTCTCAGTGTGACCCGTGCTTGTGTGACCCGCTCAGTGTGACCCATGCTGGCCGGCGTCCAGACTGCCCACAGTGGCTGCTCTGATGCTCTTGGCTTCACACGGACTCTTGGCCTCTCAGGACCTTTGTGTGCTGCTGCCCGAGGGGAGCCAGCTGTCCCGCCTGTCCTCCCTCAGGCCTGTTGCTTAACCCTTTCCAGTCCCCTGACTGAGAGTCACTGAGGAGATTCCCGCAGCGTTCCCTGCAGGCGTGCACCCCCAACTGTACACGGCTTGGAGGGCTCCCAGCCTCCCCCGCTCCACTCACCTGCAGCCCCTCAGACTGGTGACGCTTCTTGTGTCCTTGTCTTTTCCCTTACTGCGGCTTGTGGCTCAAGAGCCACGTGGGAATCCCACACTGATTTCCCCTGGACCACAGGCTGAGGATCTCTGCCACCGGTCTGGCCCCTCACCGCCCACTCCCTGCCCAGCAGACACCAGCCCTGCAGCGGGGGGGTCGGTAGCAGAGGTCGCCCGGCTCAGACCTGAGCTGTGACCCAGCTCGAGGCATCTCAGGGCCCTCGTAAGGGCTGGGTGCAGAGCCCTGGCCTGCCCTCGGTAAGTGCCCTGAGGGCCTCAGTTTCCCTGGTGTGAGGTGGAGAAGACATGTCTCTCACAGCTCGAGTCCCACAGGGAGAGCCTCCTGGACACTGTCCCTGGTGTCCCTGTAGCGCTGGGAGGTGGCCGGGCAAGGGAGACAGGCCCCGCTCTCCGTCACTGAGCCCTCCCCCGCTGAGTCCCTGTCTGCCCCTCATGCCGCAGAGGAAGCACAGTGCAGAGCCTTTGTACACGCTGGACAACATCTCCGTGACCGTGGCCGACATGTTCTTCGCGGGGACAGAGACCACCAGCACCACGCTCAGATACGGGCTCCTGATTCTCATGAAGCACCCTGAGATCGAAGGTGCGCGGGTGACAAGCACACCACCTCATGTGACTGCATCTCCCTGGGCGATCAGCACACGGCACCTTTTAGGCGTCAGCTTCTCCCTTCAGGTGTTAGCTGCTTGCTAGCGCTCATAGGTGACGCAGCAAGATCACTAGATGAATTGCTTTGGGGGAGACGTTACCTGGCACCCTTGCGCCGATGGCACTGGGCTGCTGCTACCTTCCAGCCCTTCAACACACTATTCTTCTTTTTTTTTTTTTTTGAGACAGAGTCTCGCTCTGTTGCCCAGGCTAGAGTGAGTGCCGTGGCGTCAGCCTAGCTCACAGCAACCTCAAATTCCTGGCTCAAGCAATCCTCCTGCCTCAGCCTCCCAAGTAGCTGGGACTACAGGCATTCGCCACCATGCCCGGCTAATTTTTTGTATATATATTAGTTGGCCAATTAATTTCTTTCTATTTATAGTAGAGACGGGGTCTCGCTCTTGCTCAGGCTGGTTTCAAACTCCTGACCTTGAGCAATCCGCCCACCTCGGCCTCCCAGAGAGCTAGGATTACAGGCGTGAGCCACCACACCCGGCCAACACACTATTCTTACAGCTCGTCAAGCCTGAGAGTAGATTTTGTAGAGTTTGAAGTCATTTCCCCCAAGAACATGGATTCACCACTGATCTAGGGTCTGGCCCTGGTCTTGGGTCTTTCCGAGGCAAATGCCTGCTGTTTTGATCACACAGAGGCATGCAGGGTGAAGGGTGGAGAGCTCGGGCAGGGAAGTGTTTCACGGGTCTGCAGCAGTTACAGGAGAACGTTTGACCACTCTGTACTAAGGGAACCATAGACCCAGAAAACGTTTTAAATTATTATTTGTGAGGCATTTTCAATATAGACAAAAAGAAAATATAAATATTGACACCCAGGCATCCATTGCCAAATTTAGCATGCATCAACATTTTGCAATATTTGCTTCAGACTCTTAAAAAGCAAACGAATTACAGAGCCAGCCAAAGCCCCACTGCCTCACGCTTCCCTGCCTCCCTCCCCAGAGGTGGTTTCAAGGCTGTAGCATCTCCATGCATGACTTCATACATTTAACATGTGCTAAGTATCAGCATACAAGTCATTTTGTTGCTGTAGGTATGTGAATATTTTTCCTAGCTACCACACTGTACATAACTTTCTGCAATTTGGTTTTTTGCTCAACATATGATAGAGTCCTGTAGGAACTCTCAACTGCAGAGAGATTAGGCACCTCACAAAAGTTATCTCTGTTTTGCAAAGCTGGTCCCTCTGTCAGGAAGAGAGAGACTTTGAGACTTCAAGAATAGACCATGCACACCTGATTCCAGTCTGTCATTCTCCTTCACACTTCTTAGGGCCATGCAATAAACCAGCCTGAGAGAACAACCAGTGCAAAGATTTCCCTCCCAGAAGAAATTTTCAAGACCCTTTTGGTACTCTTTGCCCTTACGTGAGGAGAAAAGCGCTGGATAAGGTGTTGTCGGCTAACGGATGCCAGAACATTCTGTGGACTGTGAATGACCTCACAGAGCGAACCCCGACTGGCATTTGTGGAGCATTTTCCCGTAATTCACGTGCTTAGGAAGCTCCACAAACACCTGGGTGGCTAAGGAGTGGACTCTAGCCAGCTTGGAGTTAGTCCTTTAACTTCATCTCATTCATTTCTTGGCAGAGAAACTTCATGAAGAAATTGACAGAGTGATTGGGCCAAGCCGAGTGCCTGCCACCAAGGACAGGATGCAGATGCCCTACATGGACGCCGTGGTGCATGAGATCCAGCGGTTCATCAGCCTCGTGCCCTCCAACCTGCCCCACGAGGCGACCCAAGACACCAGGTTCCGAGGATATGTCATCCCCAAGGTCAGAGCCTGGAGTGCACAGCATGGGGTCGGCTCTCCTCCTGGGGACCCGGATGGGGCCCCAAGCGCCTCCCTCTGGCAGGTGGGGCTGAGCAGTGCGCGGGCCGGCACCCCAACAGCACACACAGTGCACACCCCACTGGCGCACACACAGACCTGGAGACCAGAGAATGGAGAAATCTGGAAAAGGGCCTTCTCAGGCCGAGCCCGTGACTGGTAGTGATTCTAATGTCAGGAACAAACGACCCTAACAGCCAGCCCTGGAGCTAGTCCTGTGGCAAGACTGGGGCTCCCACCTTCCCTCAGAGCTGGCCTGACTGCTTTCTGTCCCGTCCTCACCTCAACAGCTGCCCCAGCTGGAAACATGCTGTTCCATGGAAGGCGAAATCCCGTGTGACGAAAGACAACCTTCGAGGGGGATTCCGGCGAAAGCCACGCTTTACTGACTGAGACGGTCTTTGTTTCTTCCAGGGCACAACCGTAATCCCTACTCTGACCTCTGTGTTGCACGACAGCAAAGAGTTCCCTGAACCAGAGAAGTTTAAGCCAGAGCACTTTCTGGACGAACGCGGGAAGTTCAAGTACAGCGACTATTTCAAGCCGTTCTCTGCAGGTAAGAGGGCTCAGAGGGCCTCAGCCTTCCCCCAGGGCTGGCCCTGCCCCTCAGCCCCACTCAGTGTGTCCCCACTCGTCCCAGACTCGCATGACACTCGAGCTGTTGTGTCCCGGTTCCTACTTATGACATGACCGAATGTGCTCTTCCCTGTTAGAGAAGCTAAATGGCACCCTTCACCAGTAGCCCTGGAATGAGGTGTTGTGGATGGATTGTTTTTCCCATGGAGTGCACATTTTACCTCGTTCATTGGTAAACTCTGTTTCTACTTTAACAGGACTTAGTGAAAATCGCTCAAAACTATATCACCCAAATGTCCATGATTTTAAACGAGGGCTACTAAGTGAAATCTAACCTTTGGTTACCTGGACACGTTGTAGGGAGCATCCCGGCCCTCCCTGGGGTGTGGTCCCACAGCTCTTCCTAAGGCCGCGCCCCCGCCAGGGCCTCCCTGGCATGCTGGGAGGGAGGGCCCAACAGCATTTTGCTCCCATCCCCGGGGCGGTGGCTCCTGCCAGTTCCCTCCTGCAGGGCATCCTGCGTAAGGCTGGGTGGTGCTTTCTTCCTGGGCAGAGACCAGTTCCCAACCGAACCGGGTTTTGCGGTTGAGTTCTGGACGACTGAGGTCGTGTGAAGGCTGGTCCTTGAATACGCCACTGTCGCTGAGTTCTTATGCTGAGCACATTTCATGCTTCTTTCAGTGGGCAGAGAGGGCGAGTCCTCCTCGCTGCGGCAGTCCGCCCAGAGCCTGCCCGCCTCGCCGTCTCGCTGTTCTTGGTGTCTCACCAATGCACTGTCCCTTCTAGGAAAGCGCGTGTGTGTCGGAGAAGGCCTGGCCCGCATGGAGCTGTTTCTTTTCTTGACGGCCATCTTGCAGAATTTTAATCTGAAGTCTCTTGTGCACCCAAAGGATATCGACCTGAGCCCTATGACAATTGGATTCGGCAACGTTCCACCGCACTACAAACTCTGTGTCATTCCCCGCTCCTGAGCGCGAGGACACACCCAGCCCCACCTGTCTTCCCAGCGCACCTGCAAGGCCCCCCAGGAGACCCCCGACCCACCCGGGGAGCCACAGGGGTGGTCTGGACACAGCAACACTTTCCAGGGTCCCAATCTTCAGACAGGATTTGAAAACAAAGTCCAGAAGATATTCTGTTAGACTTGATTAACTATGAGTTTGTTTGAGGCCATGTCAAAGCTCCTAGAAGCATGGTATTAATAATTAGGGATCTGCCACTGCACGTCAAACTGGCCTCCTCTGAAAAAGTACAGCTGTCCAGGCACCAGCACAGAATCAGTTTTGAAGTATTCACAAAAAGGAATAGGGACACGATTTTGAAGGCTAGAATAGGGAGAAATAATACAGTTTTGTCAGGATTTATTAACCCTGTCAAAAATATATTCCCCACACTGTACCCTGGGGTGCAGTTGCCCTGGGCCTCCTTATGACCGCCATTCTGTGCTATATTTTAAGGGTAAAATATGTCTGAAAAGTCAACATAGTCATCTGTCATCTCTTTTTTTTTTTTTTTTTGAGACAGAGTCTCACTCTGTTGCCCGGGCTAGAGTGCCGTGGGGTCAGCCTCGCTCACAGTGAGCTCAAACTCCTGGGCTCAAGCGATCCTCCTGCCTCAGCCTCCCGAGTAGCTGGGACTACAGGCATGCCCGGCTAATTTTTGTAATGTATTTTTAGTTGGCCAATTAATTTCTTTCTATTTTTAGTAGAGACGGGTCTCCTCTTGCTCGGGCTGGTTTCGAACTCCTGACCTCGAGTGATCCGCCCACCTCGGCCTCCCAGAGTGCGAGGATCACAGGGTGCCACCCCGCCCGGCCTGTTATCCCTTATTATTAAAATCTGACTGTCTCTGGAAGGAGAGGTGCGAGGCCCAGGGAGACCCTCGCGGAAGGAAACGCAAAGGCAGCTGGAAGCCTGCTCAGAGCAGGCGCCCGCCAGGAGGGGCTAGAGCGCCACCGCCGGCCCTGGATGGCCTGGGCGCCTCCGTGCGGCAGAGGGGCGGGCCGGCCCGCAGCTCCCCGCGCTGTGCGTTCCCTGTCAGCGTTTCCTAATAAAACCAGCAACGCCTCAGGCCGGCATCGCGGCGGCGTCCGTCTCTCGACTCCGACTCTCCCGCGTCGCTCTGTGAAGGTCCCGGGCGTCTCCAGACCCCAGTCAGCTCACGTGTTCCGGGACCCTTTCCTCAGGGAGGAGGCGCGTCCCCAGGTTGCCGGACCAGGGTGTGCTTTGGTGGGAGGCGTCGCTGTGTGCTGGCGCCTGCCAGCTCGTCCCGGGTGGGCGGGGCCGCGTCCCGGGTGGGCGGGGCGTCGCGGTGTCGGCGCGTCGGGCGCGGGCGGTCCGGGTGGGCGGGGCGGAGCGTCCGGGTGGGCGGGACGGCGTCCCGGGTGGCGGGCGCGTCCGGTGGGGCGGGCGGCTCCCGGTGGCGGGCGGCGTCCCGGGTGGGGCGGGCGGCGTCCCGGTGGGCGGGGCGGCGTCCCGGGTGGGGGCCGGCGTCCGGGTGGGCGGGGCGGCGGCTGGGGCTCCGGCCGCCCACGGAGGCCTGCGTCTCTCGCCAGCACGCCTGCACAGCGGGAAGGCGCTTCCAGCAGAAAAATATATTGAAGCGTCTTTCTGTTGCTTTGGGTAGGCCGGCTTCAGCCCGGGAGAGAGCCCTAGGGACCCTGAAGAGCCAGCAGTGGCGGGAGGGTGCCGAGGGGCGCCGAGGCCCCTGGAGGCTGTCGTGCAGCATCGCCCGTTCACTCTGAAGTGCCCAGGCTGGCATCCCGCTCCGCACGTCCCGCACTGCGCGGGTTCCCGACTCGCACGTCCCGCACTGCGCGGGTTCCCGACTCGCACGTCCCGCACTGCGCGGGTTCCCGACTCGCACGTCCCGCACTGCGCGGGTTCCCGACTCGCACGTCCCGCACTGCGCGGGTTCCCGACTCGCACGTCCCGCACTGCGCGGGTTCCCGACTCGGAGGCCCTGCAGACCCTGGCGCGAGCGCTGACCCAGGCGGCATGGCTGTCAGAAACCCTGTGCGGGTCTCAGCGCAGTTTTGCAGGATCAGCGGGAAGCGGTCAGTGCGCGGGAGGCTGGAGGAAGGAGAGACAATCTCTGGTCACCGCTTAAGACGTGGTCCTGCCCTCACCCAGACGCCCTCCGCTCCAGGGCCAGGCGGGCGTGTCCACTGTGCCGCCCGGGAGGCCGCGCCCCTCAGCACCTGGCTGGCGTTAGTACCCCGCTCCTTCAGAAAGCCCCGCAGGGCTTGAGCTGGTCTGCTCTCACTGCGCTAGCTCGGCTGGTGCCGTCCAAACCCGCAGTCACCCCGTGGACCCTGCAACTACGCCGTGGATCCCGCAGCCACGCCTTGGACCCTGCAGCCACGCCGTGGACCCCGCAACTACGCCGTGGACCCCGCAGCCATGCCGTGGACTCCGCAACTACGCCGTGGACCCCGCAGCCACGCCATGGACCCCGCAGCCACGCCGTGAATCCTGCAGCCACGCCGTGAATCCCGCAGCCACGCCGTGAATCCCGCAGCCACGCCGTGGACTCCGCAACTACGCCGTGGATCCTGCAGCTACCCCGTGGACCCCGCAGCCACGCCGTGGATCCTGCAGCCACCCCGTGGACCCCGCAGCCACGCCGTGGACTCCGCAGCCACGCCGTGGACCCTGCAGCCGCCCCTGCGCGTCGTCTTCACCAGTCACCGCCCTGGGTGCTCCCGGGTGGCTCCCGCCGAGCGCCACGAGGGGCGTCTTGTAGCGGAGCGGCGTGCGGTGGAAGGATCCGCAGTGTCGGGCGCCAGCGGCCAGCCAACGGCGAGGGCCTCCGCTCCCACACTCGACTGGAGCACAGAGGCTGCGGCAGGGCGGGAGTGCGGGACGCACGTGGGGTGGGAGTGCTGGACTGGAGTGCGGCGGGAGTGCGGCGGGAGTGCGGGACGGGAGTGCTGCGGGAGTGCGGGACGGGAGTGCGGGACAGGAGTGCGGGATGCACGTGGGTGGCGGGAGTGCAGGACGGGAGTGCGGGACGGGAGTGCGGGACGGGAGTGCGGGACGGGAGTGTGGGACGGGAGTGCGGGACAGGAGTGCGGGACAGGAGTGTGGGATGCACGTGGGTGGCGGGAGTGTAGGACTGGAGTGCAGGACGGGAGTGCGGGACGGGAGTGCCGGGACGGGAGTGCGGGGACGGGAGTGCGGGACAGGAGTGCGGGACAGAAGTGCTGGGACGGGAGTGCGGGACTGGAGTGCAGGACAGGAGTGCGGGGACGGGAGTGCGGGGACGGGAGTGCGGGGCTGGAGTGCAGGGACGGGAGTGCAGGGACGGGAGTGCAGGACGCGCTTGCGGGCTCGAGGAAGCGAGGGTGCCAAGAGCAGCCACCTCCAGTCACTTCCCTGAAGTGTGATTCATCCGTCACCCCCTAGACAGAGCTCTTTTACAACGCCCTAGTGACTCCAAAATAGTATGAAATGCAGCGCTTTGGGCAATGAACAAGGACTCCTGTGCTCAGCGCCAGCCTATTTCCTAAGGCATTTTTCCTTTTTTTAGTTTTATTACAGCGCGATTTACATACAATGAAATTCATCAGTTTGATATGTAGGGCGCTGTCACACACAGGCGTGAGAACACCGCCACAGTGAGCACAGGGCATTTCCGCGGCCTCGGAGTTGGCTCCTGCCCTTGTGGTCGTGGCCCTGGGGTGGCTCGAGGGTCCCAGCTCTGCTGTCCCCAGAGTGCCGCGAAAACCGAACCTCACTCTGTCGTCTCTGGTTTGTGAGTTCTTTGGGGATTTATCCATGGGCTGTTTGAATTAATATTGCATTTATTTTGGTTGCTAAAAAGTGTTTCTGTGTGTGAGTATACCATCATTTGTTACTGATGAGACTTGAGTTCTTCCCAGTTTTTATCCATTGTGAATAAAAAGGCTATACATATTCACATACAAGTCTTTGGATGGATGTGTTTCTTTTCTCTTTAGAAAATACGTAGAAATACAATTGTTAGGTCATGTGAAATGTGTATGTTTAATTTTTAAGAGTTTTCACTTCCATCAGCAACAGATATGAGTTTTAGTTTCTCTGTATCATGACTGCACTTGGTATCATTAGTCTTTTTAGTTTTAGCTATTCTGGCAGACGCGTGGTGGGGTTTTCTTGTGGTTATTCACTATCTCTTTGGTGAAATATCTGTCCAATTCATTTGCCCATTTTAAATAAGTTTTTCTCTCTTGATTTTCTCATGCTGGAATCAAATCTTTATCAGATATAGTTTTTCACATTTTTTCTTCAAGTCTAATTTGTCATTTCATTTTCTTAACAGTATTTTATGAAGAGTAAAAGATTTTAATTTTTATGTTCAATTTATCAATATTTTCTATTTTGTGGTTCATTCTTTTCTATTTCCTGTAAGAATTTTTTACATAATCTAAGTTCAAGAGGAGTTTCTCCTGTTTTATTCTACAAATTTTACAGTTTTATCTCATATTCAAATCTATGCTTCCTTTCAAGTTTTCAAGTTGTTTGAAGTAAGTCTTCCTTAAACCTGTTCTCTTTTTGTATACGAATATTTAAATGTTCCAACACCTTTGTTGAAAAAGTTATCTTTCTCCATTTTATTACCTTGCCATTTTGTAAAATATCAATTGGCCCTAAATGTGGGCTATTTCTGGACTCTGTTTAGTTCTGTTGATCTGTTTTCTACCCTGACACTCACACCACCTTGTCTTGAATGATGTAGGCTAACAGCGAAACTCAAAATCAGGTAGTGTCAGTCATCCAACTTTGTTTTTCTCTTTCAGTATTATTTTGGCTATTCTAGCTTCTTTACATCTCCATATAAATTTTAGAGTCAACTTGTCAATTTCCAGCAAGCACACTGCTGGGATTTTAATTGGGGTTTCACTGAATCTATACATTGATTTGAGGAGAATTGACATCTTAACAATACTGAGTCTTCCAATCCATGAACGTAATTCTCTCTCCATTTATTTAGGTCTTGTTTTGTGGTTTGTAGTGTACAAGCCTAGTGCATATTTTATATTAATATCTCTAAAAAATGTATTTATTGGTGATACAATAGGATGATGTTTCTTTTTAAAATTTTAATTTCCAATTGTTCATTTTTTATATAAAAATACAATTAACATTTGTATATTGTCCTTCCCATCCTGAGACCTTTGTAACTTCACACACTAGTTCTCGTCACTGTTTTGTAGATTCCTTATTTCCTATGTAGATTATCATGTTGTCTGCAAATAGTTTTGCTTATTACACTTAGGTATCATTTTTTGTGTATGGTGTGAGGCAGTGGGATGGATTATAAAACTGGAAACAGACTCTTCCCCCCTGGACACTGCTGATCCTCTCACCAAAAGGTGGAACCTCTTTCCCAGCCCTTCAATCTGGGCTGGATGTTCGACTCGTGCCTGGCCTACACCTCACCATTTCCTCCTTCCCACTCCACCCCTGGTAGCCACTGTTTATTTTCTTTGTATATTTCATCTTTCCTTCTAGATTCCA